TTGCTTGGGCTTCTGGTGCAACCCCTTTAAGCAGTTTCCTTGGATATATTCTCCTCTGGATCCCCAGAGGCTTGCAGTATTGGTGTTGCTTTTTTTTTTTTTAACCTCAGATGCCCTGCAAAAGAGAGCTGCAGGCCTAGGCCATGCGTGCAGGGATTCTCCAAAGCCTGGAGCCAAAGGTCCAAAGAAATGGTGCTCCCAATCAGAAGGGCCAGATTGCCCCTAGGAGTTCACACCAGCCTTCCTTCTTGAAAATTGCTAACCAACCATTTTTCTTTTCAAAATAAACACTATTTCTCTCAACTTCAGTTTGCAAAATATTACCCCAATTCCATTGGACTAAAAAACTGGAATTTTACTGACATAATTGGATTATGAGGTTTAAAGATTGATGGAACTTTTCTGTTCCAAATATAATTGTTCAAATACCAAACCTAAATGGGCATGTTGAAGTCCTTAGATAGCTAGAGCCAGAGTAATCCTGCAGGCTCCGCAGCAGGGGGGCCCTCAGAGGGGGTCAAGAAGCTATCAAAACTGGAGGTATTGGGAGTCCTGTGACACAAAAATCTGGAGTCTTGGGGGACATATCACCTCTTCTGCAGCCACAGCTTATCACGAAAATGAAGACTCCTTTAGTCACCCTAGTTCCCTCTATACCCACTCATTTCTCAGATCTCAGCTCAAGCACCAATGACCTTGGCAGTTTGTTCATACAGATATTATAGCACTTGCCATGCTCTGCTGTAATTTATCTGAGTATAAACCTGTCTCCCTGAGAAACAGCAAAGTCCTAAAAGAATTTGTCTTCGGATTTCCAATGACTAAGTTACAACTTGGCATATATTATATACACACATAAAAGTAACATATGTAAATAATGTATATAGGAGAGAAGGGAGGAAAAGGACATAGGTTTTATTCAGGAATTTACAGAATATATATTAATTTATTCATAGCACATGTTTTTGAGTGTGTGCTAAGACTCACTCCTAGTTCTCTGCCATTCCTGGGGAAATTATATTGATAAAACCTCTGTGAAGGCACTGAACCTCTCAGCAGAAGACATCACAGTCTTATGATCTCTCCGTCCTCCGTTACAAGTTCGTAACTGACTACTGCTTAATACATTTGATTCACGTTCTTCTGCCACAAGACTGAGAGTTCCACAACAACGGAGACCACATCTATTTTTGTCCATTGTTGAATCCTCACTGCCCATGGATGATGTTCAGTAAATATCTGTTAGTTGAAAAACTGAATAAATCTATCACAAGACCAAAAAGAAGGGAAAGGTAATCAGATCCAAACACTTCAGCATACTATGGACTTCTCTTCTATGTTTGTTTCATTATAAAAAATAAGAACTAACCATGACTACATAGCACATGAATTAACGCTGGTGCCCTCACAAGGTGTTTGGCTCTGGTGGTGAGGTGTACAGGTGAGAGAGGTGGCATTCCAGACCACAAAGACCATGATATTGGCAATCCCGTTAGTGCCTGTGCTTTTGGCCACCTGTGGGTATTTACCCAGGTCTAGTACATGGATTTACGGAAATTATCTAGTTTTAGCTAAACTAATCCTTACGAAATAGTCAAGTGGCTAAAAAAGATGATTGCAAAGATCCACAGATTGAAGAGAACACTAAACTAATCATATGAATATTACCAACACCAGGAAAGTGACCAAGTTGCATATCTTCTGCTCCTAATATCAACTCATAATTAGCCACATTCTGATCTCAAAACAATGATTGTCAATCATATGCTACATAGCAGTTAGACAAGAATAAACATACTTAATGTGTGCCTTCAAGGTAAAGGTGATGTTTTAACGAGAGAAAAACTATTGTTTTTTGAAAACAAAATAAAAAAAGAAACTCAAGTTTTGAAGATAAAATGTTTTAAATGGGTGTTTTGAAATGTTCCCATTGTTACACAATTTGGAGGCTTAAAATGATTTAAGTGTCTAAACTACAAAACTACTCATACCTACACAATTAAATACCCTAACAGAGTTTTCTGACTAGTTCTTAAAGATACCAACTGAAGAATAAGTGAGGATTATGAACCCATTTTTTAAAAATTTAAAAAATTGTTCAATTAGTCCACAAGAACTGACTGACATCAGAAAAGACAGAAATTTATTAGCTGGATTGCAAAATTAATCTGAACAGAATTAAAAAATGAGTATTATGATTTAGTAAGTTCAGCTCACTTCTTTCCAAGATATGCGGTATCTTTTTCAATTATTATAACCATTAAAAACAAAACTAAGTATCAAATTTCCAGAACCTATACTCAGACCTTTGCATTCCCATATCATGTTATTAAAGTAAAATTTAATATTTAAAATTTAAAGGATATTAAATTTCTTTCACCAAAAGTAAAATTATGAATATGAAGTTCTCTATACCATTTTTTAAGGAAAATGAAAATATTTAAAAATTGATTTCATTCTTTCCACTCTTTTCATTCCACTTTTATGTAAATTTACACTGTACATAATAAATCAGTAAAGTAGTAATTACATCTGTAGTTTTAAAATAAAGACACATGCATTATTGGGAAGGCATGGTCAACAAAGTTTAGACATTACTACTTTAAAGCATCAGGAAGCAGACGAAAGATTTTAAGCCAAAGGAGTAAAAAAAACCCAAACAAACAAAAAAAACAGATCTGAATTTTAGAACCATAACCCTAGAGAGAATAGGCAGGAAGAAAGTGCTTGGAGGTTAAAGTGATTTAAAAAAAAAAATCCCTGTTACTATGCTAATAGCAGAGAGCACCCCCCACAAGCTCCCTGTATCTTTGGCTCCCTTTGCAGGACACATAGGTGTGTTTTTAACAGAGGCCTTCTGCAGAGCAGGCATCCTAGTCTGTGGTCTAACCCAGAAGGCAACCGGGGCCAAAGAAAAGACAAGGTGAAGCCACGAGGGGAGCTGAGAGCAATACTGGGCTCCATGACTGCTGAAGTGCCTTATTAGTTATCTGCAGGCTAGGAGGAAGGCCAGAAATGATTGAGGATCGTTCTTTTCTGATAGTCCCATTTATAATTTTTAAAAGTTATTAAAGTTATTTTTCAAATTATTTGAACAATACAGTAATTTATAAAATGAAAAGGAAAATATCATCTTCCTACCTCCTACTACTCCACCGAGAATTCCACGTATTGTAATCACTGTCAATCACTGTCAATTACCATAGAAAAAGGTCTGATTTCCTTGAAGATCTTTTTCTATGCATATATACTTTTCTGTGTACATATATGTGTGCGTGTCTATACATTTATATAGTTTTTATATTATTTGACTATATAAAAAGTAGGCTCATATTCATATTGTTCTGAAATTTGCTTCTTTTACTTCACAATATATAACAGCCATAGTTTTAGGCCAGTCCACATGGACCCAGCTCCTTTTCCGCAGCTGTAGGGAATGCCATCTTATTAATATGCCATAGGTTATTTAACCTTTCCTTTATTGATGCGACATTGGCAGTGTCACTTTTACAATAAAGCAGTAATGAACACTCGTGTACATATATCCTCGTTGTACACTTCTTTGAGTAGGATGGATTCTTGAAAGTAGAGTTTTGGGGCAAAAGGGTGGGTACATTTAAAATGTTGACAGCTACTGCGGAACAGCTATGTTAACTTATACTTCAAACAATAAAGTCCAGCCATTCATTCTGACCTTTTCTCATTAAGTTTGTTTATAGATTCCCAGATTTAGGGAAAGATCTCAGAAATCCAGCCCCTCAATTTGTATATGAAAAAAACGAAGGTTCAGGGAGAGTAAGGTTATGGGCCCAAATCTCAAAGATCCTGACGAGCTAACTGACCAACAGGAGTTCCAAGAACAGGGGTGACCGCCAACAGCCAGGACGGCAACTTGAATCAAGTGACTTCAAATATATGTGTGTCCCACCCAAGCTACAAAGAGGAGGAGAGGGGACTGTCATCTCCTTTCTCTTGCCTACCCTCTGCGAGAAAAGGAAAAGAGGCAGCAAATTCCTAAAAGAGGTAATAGCAAGAGGAAACAAAGAAGGATCTCAAACTACGTGGAGTAACGGGCACCAAAGCCGAAGGCATCGCAAGGTCAGCTGCATGGAGTGTGGTGGAAAAGACTCTGACACGGGATGACCTCTGCAAAAACCTTCCACAGCCTCAGTGGGTTGTATGAAAAGTTCCTCGGTTCTAAATATCTCCATGTGGCATCCAAAATGAATGCCAGTACTGAAACCAAATTCTGAAGAGAAATATCAGAAAAGAACTAACATCCCACAATGAAGAAACATCTTCAAAGAAGATGTTGTTATAAAAATACCACAAAAGTACTTTCCAACAAATTCCAGACCTAAAAGTAAAGCTTTAAAATGAAGCTCCAAGCACAGAAGTCTTGAATCCTTTGCTTTGTGCCTGAAGAGGCCCATCTAAAGGAAGGCGCTTCTAACCAGATAACACCATCTTTTTTCAGCAAGACCGATGGGACACAGCAATAAGAAAAGAGGGGACAACTGTTTGTTTTGAAATCAGGATGGTCTAGAGCATGGGTCAGCACACTTGTATAAAGGGCCAGAGGACAAATATCTTAGGTTTTGTAGGCCTTACGGTCTCTGTTGCAACTATTCAACTCTGCCCTTATAGTGTAAAAATACACCCACAGACCATAATATAACTGAATAAACATGGCGGTGTTCCAGGGCAACTTTATGGATGCTGAAATTTGAATTTCACATAATTTTCATGAAAGATTATTCTTGTTTTGATTTTTTTCAGCCATTTAAAAATATAAAACCATTCTTAGCTCATAGTCTGTACATGGCCTGGACTTAACGGGCAGGCCATGATTTGAGGACCTCTGGTATAGGGAACATTTAATTCTCAACTGAACTGAACTTGAATGTTGATGGAAAGATGGCAACATTGGAGGCTGGCTCTTAGGAAAGTCAGGAGGCAGGAAAGTAGAAACATGTTCTTAAAGAATTTTAGGTATTTACCTTAAATCTCGTCTCTGTCTGATTTCTTCTGGTGGTATTGTCCAGGGCAAGCCTTGAGGGAGACATTCTAGAACTTCTGAAGAGAAATCCGTGAAATCCACACCATACTCTGTTAGTATTCCCTCTGTTTCAGGCTCAATTTCACCAGCCTGCCCAAGACTCTTAGCCAGCTGCCTGTAGACAGAGAGGAACAACTGTGTTAATGAATAAACAGAAGATAGGTACCCATTTCCTTTCACAAACTGAGGGTGGTAGGAAAGCCTAGAAAACCTCCTGCCCTTGCTCCAGCAGGCACACCATTACCAGTGAATGGGGGGCCAAGCAGAAGAGACAACGACACTCTTATCCTGTTCAATCTATGACTATAGTGTAATCTTACCTTTCTTCAAAAATTCTGACCTGGGGAGTGGGGCCAGAAAGCTGTCCTTAGGACTCCTGCAACTGTCTTTCATGGAAAAGTCAAATTGATATTGTTAAAAGCTTTTATCAATTCTTTCTCTTGAATAGAATTTTATCAATTCTATACTCACCTTTAGAGGCAATTCTGATAAACCCAGTTTTCTGTTAAATCATCAGTTTCACAGAGCCTATACCTAAAGTCATGCTCACTAGATTAGATCCAATGTTCATATTTACTTAATTCTACACATTTTTACGTTAATATTTTTAAATATCTTATCTGAACACAAAAGTAATATATGTTCACTGTTGAGAAGTTAGAAAATACAGAAATGCACTGAGAAGAAAATTAACTGTAATCCCATCACCCAGTAAAGTACTGTTCACATTTTAGGGTACTGGTCCATTAAAACGAAGACTGCATTTAACAGGCTAGTCCTGACATTATGAGTAGAGTTCTACCTTTTAGGAGGCAGATCTCACTCTTTATCTGTGGGTCATATATCAAAATTGGTAGCTCTCCATTCTCATAAGTACTGGCATGCCACACATAGACCACAAGTCGAAAGTTATGTGTTGAATATAGAAGGCCAATAGGAAATGTAATATGTGAAGCAGCTGCCTTTGTAGTGGGTGTTTGCGAGACCAAAGATGGCCACCTCTTCTGTTGGCCAAGTCTACTTGTCTGGCATGGTGACCCAGTAATCACCCTCAGGCTCTTCCTGCAAGACGTTCAGAGCTACCATAGGGACTTCTCTGGGGCCATTCAACTTCTTTGAAGAGGGTCCTGTTTCCTACGTAAAGGTAGACGCCTGGCTGCCAGAGTTCACAGGTGCATGGGGGTGAAGGGGGTGGGGTGTGGTTGCTTCCTATGCAGACTTTTAACGAATTCCTATTTTCAGTCTTCCTCCTGGAACCCGGCAGTGGTGGCAGCAGAGCTGACCCCATTTCTCACACACAAGCCAAGAGAGCCAAGCCCACAGCTGATATGTACACCTGTCCACCTGCCCTAGGTGCTATCTAGGTAGACTGTGGATTAACCAGTGGGCTCCAGGTAGCCTATGGGCTACTCACATACAATGTGGGCTCAGGCCATTGTCTTCTCCTCACACTTAGGTGGTGATCTCCCAGAAAGCACATTTAAAAAGCCAAAGACAACAAAAATGCAAGGGAAAAAAGAACAGAAAGCTATCTGGAAGATCCACAAATATTTGGAAATTAAACAACCATGGGTTAAAGAAGAAGTCAAAGGAGAATTAGAAAATATTTTGAACTGAATGAAACACAACATATCAATATTTGTGAGAAGCAGCTTAAAGCAGTGCTTTGAAGGAAATTTACAGCATTAAATGCTTATATTAGAAAAGAAGAAATGTGTCAAATCAATTATCTTAGCTTCTACCTTAAAAAACTGAAAAAAGAAAAGTAAATTAGATCCCAGGTAAGCAGAAGGAAGAAAATAATAAAGAAACAAGAATCGGGCCGGCCAAGTGGCACGTTGGTTAGGAGTTGGCTTGGGAGCACCAGCTCTGAGCAGCAGGACCCTGGTTCGGATCCCACATGAGGACCAGTGATACTGCGCCCTCTACAGCTAAGATAGTAAACAACAGCTTGACCTGGAGCTGGGCTGCCAATGGCGTAGGCTGCAGTGGGGCTGGCCAGCAGCGGGCGTGAGCTTTCATGAGCTGCCGTGAGCCGCTGTCCAATGGTCGGTGAGCGACTGCCTCACCTGGGAAGAACGCAATGATGGTGCCAACTTGGGCCAGTGAAGCAACATCCTCCACAACTAGACTGAAGAAC